ACCCGAAGCGCACCAGGAAAGAAGATGATGAAAGGGATAGTTCAAGCATTCCAGTGAAGAATTTGGCGGCCTCCTTCGAGGAGCGCCGCCAGGCACAATGAATACTTTTTGTTGGAACTGTCGCGGTGTGAGCAACGCTGCCACAGTCCAAGAACTTCGCGAGTTCACGAGGAAGGTTGCCCCTACCCTGTTGTGCATTGTTGAGACTCAGATAGATGGATCTAGGGTAGAAAATCTAGCTAGTACATTGGGTTATGAGAATGCTTATGCAGTTGATAGTCAAGGTAGGAGTGGAGGAATTGGTCTTTTGGGAATAATGAAATAAAAGATGAGATTTTGGGTTATTCTTGCTATCACTTGGATGTATCGGTAGAGGAAGAAGGTCATGATGTGTGGCGATTGACATGTGTTTATGGTGAGGCTCAAACCCACTTGAGACACCAAACTTGGGAGGTTTTAAATAATATTAGCACATCTAGCTCCCTCCCGTGGTTATGCATCAGTGACTTTAATGAAGCGTTGCGTGCAAATGAGCATGATGGAGTTGGGATAAGGAGTAACTCGCAGATACAAGCATTTAGAAAAACAGTGGACGTATACATGCTGCTCGATATTGGTTACAAAGGACTACCATGGACGTTCGAGAGGAGAGTGGCTGGAGGAACTTATACTCTATGTCGTCTCGACCGTGCGTTGGTGAGTGCACAATGGCCTGCTCGATTCCCATCAGCCAGCCTCGAGCACTTAACGACAGCGACGTCAGATCACACTCTGATGTTTCTTGACCTTGGGCGCGGGCAAGAGCCTCCCCATAGATGCACTTTCTGGTATGAAGCAATGTGGGAGAAGCATGAGTCCCTAAAAGGAACAGTTCAGTCAGAATGCGAAGCTGCGGGTACATGCAATAATGCGCAGGATCTTCACAACAAGTTAATGTGTGTTTCTGCAGGGCTATCAAATGGAGCAAAGAGACTTTTGGGAGTGTAAGAAAGGAGATAAGGGATATGAAGAGGAGATTGGAAGAACTCAGGGCTGATCCACTCCGGGTTGCTCCAACACATATTGAGATGAAAACCAACGAGATACTCATAGAGCTTTATCACCGAAAGAAATTATGTGGAGACAGCGGGCAAGGATTGATTGGCTGTCTTCGGGGGACAAAAATACAAAAAAAAAAAATCATCTCCGTGCCCGCCTAAGGAGGAAGAAGAATATGATCCGGGCCCTAGAAAAATCTTTGGGTATATTGGTGCAGGATCCAGCTGAGTTGAGGTCTATGGCTAATGCATTTTACCAAAATCTATACACTAAGGAGTGCAGGGCATCCAGGAGGTCATGGACCATGTACCTCGCAAGGTCACCGATGCCATGAATGCAACCCTGTGTGCGCCATATACAAGTACTGAGGTCAAAAATGCACTTTTCCAGATGTTTCCTACTAAAACTCCGGGGCCCGATGGCTTTCTCACTTTGTTCTAATAGAAGCATTGGGACGTATGTGGAGAAGATGTGACGAAAATTGTACTAAGAATAGTCAAAGGGGAGGAGAGCCCAGAGTGTATTAATGAGACAGTATTAGTACTGATTCCGAAGGTATCTAATCCCAACCTCCTCTCTCAATACAGACCGATCAGTTTGTGCAATGTGCTATATAAGATTGCATCGAAGGTGGTTGCAAATAGACTTAAGCTCGTTCTACCAGAGATCATTTCAAAAGAGCAATCTGCATTTGTTCTAGGTAGACTAATAACTGATAACATCATTTGTGCTTACAAGTGTTTACATTTTATGAAGAGGAATAGGTCAAGAAATAACAGCTTTTGTGCCATGAAACTCGATATGATGAAAGCCTATGATAGGTTGGAGTGGCCCTACCTCAAGGCTATCATGCAGAAATTGGGGTTTGCAGCAAGTTGGATTGATACAGTTATGGCCATGGTTTCTTCAGTATCCTTTTCGGTGATGTTCAATGGAGAAAGACTTGACCGTTTCTATCCATCCAGAGGGATTCGGCAGGGAGATCCAATCTCACCTTACCTATTTTTGCTTGCAGCAGAGGGCCTTTCGTGCCTCCTGAAATCCAGTTCTCGGTCATCTTCACTCACAGGTATTAAAGTGGCGCCTACGTCCAGGCCGTGAACCACCTTCTATTTGCATATGGCAGCCTGTTGCTTTTCAAAACTAGTGTGGAGGGTGCAGAAAGTGTATCAAACCTACTACATTTATATTGCAATGCATCTGGGCAGAAAGTTAACACTGAAAAATCATCAATTTTCTTTAGTAAAGGGTGCCCGCAAGGATTAAGAGAAGAAGTGAAGAACCACCTCAACATTCATAATGAATCACTTAATGAATGATACCTGGGAATGCCGACAGATGTGGGTCAGTTAAAGAATGGCACATTCAAATATTTACGCGATAGAGTGTGGGAGAAAGTGATGGGATGGATGCAGAAGCTCTTGTCAGCGGTAGGAAAGGAGATCCTTATTAAATCAGTAGCGCAAGCAATCCCAGTTTACTCTATGTCTTGTTTCAGACTGCCGAGAGGGCTTTGCGAGAATGTCACATCTATCATCCATCAGTTCTGGTGGGGCAGCAAGCGGGGGAAGCGTAAACTAGGTTGGGTGGCTTGGGATGTTATGACCAGACTGAAGCATATGGGAGGCATGGGTTTTCGAGATCTCGAGCTTTTCAATCTAGCTTTGTTGGCAAGACAAGCGTGGAAGCTACTGAATGATACAGAATGCTTGAGTGCTAGACTGCTCAAGGCAATATACTATCCCGGGACCTTGCTCCTCCTAGCTGAACTGGGTTCTAACCCATCTCAGATTTGGAGAGCCATTATAGATGGTAGAGATGTACTGGCGCAAGAAATAACGAGAAGAATTGGGGATGGAGCTACTACCAGAATATGGGATCACAATTGGATACCACGTGCAAGCTTTAAACAGCCGATTACTTCATTGCTTCAAGCACCTCCACAACTGGTGTCAGAATTGATTGAAACGGCCACGACTTCCTGGAGGGAGGAGCTCATTCGATCTGCGTTCATAGCCTTTGATGCTGAATCCATTCTTCAAATACCGTTGTGCACACGGGTTGATGATTATTGGGCCTGGAGTGAAGAACCTTGAGGGTATTTCTCTGTTGGCTCGGCATACCGCATGTTGGTGCGTATCAAATATGATAGAGAAGGATGGCTTGAGGGCAGGGAGACACCATCAAGCAGCAAGGGAAACAAGGAGGAGTGGAAGGCAATCTAGAGAACGTGTGTACCATCAAAAATCAGGGTCTTCTTATGGCGTTTGGCTAGACAATCGATTCCCTCAGGGGATGTTCTGCAACACCGTAATATGGCTACAACCGGGGCTTGTAATCTGTGCGGAGTGAATGACTCTTGGCGGCATGCTTTGTTGAATTGCCCAATGTCTCGCTGCACGTGGGCGCTTTCCTCTGAGGCGATTTTGGATCAACTGAGTATTCAGGAACTTGAATGCCCCAAACAGTGGCTTTTTGCAATACAGAGTGTGTTATCGGTGGATGATTTTGTTACATTTGCAGTGTCCCTATGGGCCATTTGGGGTGCAAGGAGAAAAGCAATCTATGAAGGCATATTCAAGACCCCTCAAACAACGCATGGTTTTATCACTTCTTACCTGTCCGAAGTTCAATTCTTGATGCCATCGAGGGAAGGTATGGGAGGGGGTGAACGTCATCACGCTGGATGGATCGCCCCTCCAGACGGCTTCACTAAATTGAATGTTGATGCTGCGGTCGGTCGAGGAGGGCGATATGGAGCCGTTGTGGCGATCTGCAGAGAACAAGATGGAAGATTTTTAGGGGCGTCAGCACTTATTTTCAAGCATATCTCTGATCCAACTACACTTGAAGCTATGGCGGTTAGAGAGGGCCTTTATCTTGCTACTGATCTGAATGTTGCACGGGTTTATGCTGCTACAGACTGCAAAGGGGTGGTACAGGAAGTAGAAGGAGGAAGTGTTGCGGTTAATGGCCCAATAATCAGAGAGATCAAGTTACAAATGTCTTCTTTTAATTCTTGTAATTTAGTTCATCAATTTAAGAGCTCAAATTTTGATGCTCACAACTTAGCAAAGCATGCATTGCGTTTGGGAGTTGGCCGTCATGTTTGGTTAGGCCAGCCAGTTGGAATTGCATTCGTCCCTGTAAACATTGTGACGACATAATAAAGCTTTGCAAGGTTGCCTAAAAAACTTATATCAAGTATGACAGGGACATACGAGAGAGCCGCTTTATGCAAACAGGATTGTAATTACCATACTTGATTGATGCAATCCTTTTCATCTGAAAAAAAAAGATCAGGTCAACCTGTTTACCCAACAGATACAGATGCACAACTCCCTCATTATATTAAAAAAGGATGTACTCCTCTGTATTAGTGATCTAAATGATTTTATATTATCTATATATAAGATTGTTTAGATCCCTATTATCTATATATAAAAAAGGATGCAAGCGCACGAATTTATTCAACGGAAACGTGGCAGGCTCGTGAATGATTTACATTATTTCAAGCGAATCAACATGTGGTTGAGATGATTAGGTGGACAGTGGTATCCCCAACCCACCAGGGTTCAAATCTTGGTGCTCGCATTATTCCTGGATTTATTTCAGGATTTCCGGCGATGCGCTTTCAGTGGGAGGAGACGTTCCCGTCGACGACGAGGCGCCTACGGTGGCTTCGTAAATCTCAAGATGATATGTCGGCTCAGTATCTCAGAGGTGCTCATAGGGGTAGGGTGTGCGTGTGTGCGTTCGTAGGGGTGAGTGTATGCGCGTGTATATGAGCGCTTGTGTCTGTACTGATGCTCAAAAAAAAGGCGTCGAAGAGACACCAACAAAGAATGTTGATTCAAACCAAAGGCTTATTTATTTTCTTTTGTGGGCAAATGATGATAAACTATGATCATGTAGTTTGGCAGCAGCAACTCATACGTACAGTACATGTACTGTATCCAGGGCTAGCAGGTGTGGTTGCACGTGGACAAGATGGGTGGCGCGGCGGACGGGCCATCGAGCACCCCGCGGTCCATGATCTTGTACGCCGCCTCTGTCATGTGCAGGCCATCGAACGACACGTACATCGACGGGTCCGGGCACGGCACCGCCGCCGGCCCAACGTCCAAGACGGGGTAGCACGCCTTCAGCACTGTCTCCACAGCGAACCCGTTCAATGCAGGTTTGGTGATGAGGGTGAGCACGTCGTCGTAGGTGTTGACGTAGGTGATCGACACGCCAGCGTGGTCGCGGCGGAGCTCCTCGAGCTTGGCTTTCAGCATGCGGTTGTGGACGAGGACAAGGTCGTTGAGCCGCCGGAGGCAGCCCGTGGCAGGGTCGCGGTTGTCGCCGGGGAAGAGTAAGAGGAATCGTGGGGTGCACCCCAGCGGGAAGATGCATGGCACGTACATGGTCTTGGCGCCCAGCTCGATCAAGGCCTCGATGGAGAGAGCGATGGACCTGATGACCTGGGGCACGATGGGCCTGACCCACTCGACTGTTTTGTTTTGGAAGAAGGGGTGGTTGTAGTCGTTGGCGCCGATCTCTCCCACCAGGAACAGCGAGCTCGCCATCACCTCCTTCCGCTCTGCGTGAGCATGTCCGAGATGGTGTGGTTAGAAGATAATATGCATGCTTGGTGCAATTGCGTAGCCAGGCGCATGCATATATATGCCATAGAATTTGTTCTACCTTGGTACGTGGAGGCGAGCGCCGCGAGCACTTTCTTGAACCAGCCGATTTGGACATCGAGGGAATAGGGGGGATCGGTGGGAGCTGGTCAACGCTGAGGTTCTTTTTAATGAAGAACTCCTGGCAGTAATTAAGCACGCCTCGTCTGTCGTCGTCATGGAATGGAAGTACTTACCGATGAAATCGACAACGAGGCGGCCGTCGGATCAGCGGCCGGTGGGGCGGCCGAAGAAGGTCTCGTCGTAGGGCAACGCCAGGACGGGGCCCGACGCATTGGCGTAGTGGACGCTGAAATTGCCGGTGTCGATTAGAGAGTCGTCGAAGCTGAACATACGCTTGTAGGAGCTGCTCCGGTTGGCCGACGCACGCGACGACGGCGCTGTCGTGGCGACAGACAGCGTAAGGAACGCGGCCACCACGAACTGCAGAGGCAGAGTCGATGCCTCCACCATTGTGGTGGTGGATAGAAAGTAATGGTTTGATCTCGAGCTAGCTAGCCTCACCTAGTTTTGCCCTTCAACCCGTACTTGCAGCTGGAGCTATATATGATGTGGTACGCATGCAGCTATCTTATCTTATCTCCGTCATTGTTTGAAAATAAATTCCAACAATAATGTGGTACTGGTAGGAGATAACTGCTAGGAAAACGAAACTCGTGGCAAACGAGGCAACGGAGTAACGAGATTTGACTTCGAGGAATTGATTGATCGACTGTTGCCGCAGTTGACTTGTACACAACTTGCATAGTACACTGGGCGTGTTTGTTTACATTGAGCCAGTTTGAGGGGATGTAGGCCAAAAAACCCCAGATGCACATAGTTTGGTTGCTTGCATGTCCTTAGTTGCATGAGACAACCATTTTTGACCCGGCGTTTGGTTGCCCGCATTGCATTCATTACAAGAAATATGTCAACTAGTGACCTTTTGTCAGTGACCCTGGAAGAATTGGTCATAGATCTATGACCATTTGAGACCAATTGATCAAAAGCTGTTCGGAGTGCTCCAAACCCTAAACCATTTCGACCATTTTGGTCAGAAAGGTCGTAATTTCCTTACACGAAATGGTCACAAAGCAAACAGGGTTGGTCTGCTGCCTTATTTCTAGTTGTTAACGACCCATATAGATGGTCATAACCTTGTAGATTGTGGTGGGTTGTGATGACTAGGCGCCATCTCATCAATTTTGCCTATGTGTCATGTCCACGTGTCAATTTTTGCCCTAGGTTATGAAGCAACCTATATTTCTGTTATTTCCAAAAATTCCCAAAAAATTCTCATAAATTGTTTGGATCATATCTTCATCAAATATGTCAAAAACCTTCCTTTCCTAGTTCAAAAATAACTCAACAATATTCATTTTCCTATTTTGTTCAAAGCAACACTTTGTGAAGGAAGTGTTCTTTATATATTCTTGATTTCCCTAAAAATTTGTGAAGACATTCTTCTTAGTGTATGATCATCCTCAGCCAAAACTCACGCCCATTGGCCATGTGCATTTCCCGTACCGCTAATCAAACACTTGGCTGCTAATTCATGTTTGAGCATAGTTCGGTCTCCTCATGAGAATCTTATGTTATAATTTTCTTCCTAGCACCTACTCGGGGAGTGCCCAACCCACTAGACATGCCTAGGCCGCCCAGAACGCATGGCAACACCACGGTCACGCGGTGACCACGCGGCGGCTTGCGAGCGTATGCGCTCTAGAGTTGGGACCCTCGGCCACCGTCCAAACCTTGATGTTTCGTCATCAAACCATGTATTTCTGATTAAATAGATACTTATTTACCTAGAAATGATTTTTGGAAAAAATAAAGAGCAAACTATGAGGCACCTACAGTTCAAATTTGACCCGCTTCCAGCTGAATCGACGGGAACTTGTCTTTTTCACCAAAGGTGGATCAAAACTTTTGATACCCAACCATTTTATCAATTGTGCATTATATATGGCATAGTACTGTAATAGTAGGCATATCTGGGTTGTAATAGACTATGCACGTGTGAAATGGAAACCTGATTAGTGGGCCCATTTGTGAAAATAATCTAAACAATGCTCACATTTTTGACATGTGGGACCAATATAGGAGATTATGACAAGTGGGACCCATCTGACTTGTGGGACCAGATTGAAAAATATATACTGAAAAACTAAAAAGGCCATGGCCCAAAATATAAAAAAAGGCCAAATTGTTGGGTCAGGCCCATGTAGCTAGACAAAATTCACAGAAAAAATATATAGTAAAAAGGCTGAATTGATGGGCTCGGCCCATCTAAAGCACCGAATTGGACCAGGCTGAATCTTGTGCCACATCAGCTTGCCACGCTGGATGCCTACGTGGCCTGGGGAGGTTGCTAGTGACCAAAACACCACAGTGGACATATTTTAGTCATAAACGTCCACGACCATTCCAGAAGAAAGGTCGCTATAGTCAGTTTACGACCGCCAGCCTTTGACCTTCTGTTTTTGGTCACAAAAAGGTCGCAAATGAAAAACCATGACCTTTCAGTGACCAATAGTGGTGGTCACTAGTTGACATATTTCTTGTAGTGATTAGGTGCACATATGATATGGTGTTTGGTTGCAACCTGCATAAGGTGTTGTCACCACTCCTAACTAGTGGTGAGCTTACCACACAGAATCTGAACATGTAGCGCCAACTACTTAAACAAATGATAGTTCATCCTAACTACTATCAAATGACAGTTTCAATTATTAAGAGCCATTGGCTAAATAGGGGATAGTTTATCGGTGTTGCTGCTACCAGATCTTCCTCTTCCTCTTCTTCTGCTTCTACTGGTGCCTTCTGCTACTGCTGATGCCGCTTCTTCTTCTTCTTCCATCTTCTTCAAATCCTGCACTGACCTCTGTTAAGCCACATCGCCTCTCCCCACTCCAACCTTTTGTCCTTTCTGTTGGAAATATGCCCTAGAGACAATAATAAAAGGATTATTATTATATTTCCTTGTTCATGATAATTGTCTTTTATTCATGCTATAATTATATTATCCGGAAATCGTAATACACGTGTGAATACATAGACCACAACATGTCCCTAGTGAGCCTCTAGTTGACTAGCTCGTTGATCAACAGATAGTCATGGTTTCCTGACTATGGACATTGGATGTCATTGATAACGGGATCACATCATTAGGAGAATGATGTGATGGACAAGACCCAATTCGAAGCATAGCACAAGATCGTGTAGTTCGTTTTGCTAGAGCTTTTCCAATGTCAAGTATCCTTTCCTTAGACCATGAGATCGTGTAACTCCCGAATACCGTAGGAGTGCTTTGGGTGTACCAAACATCACAACGTAACTGGGTGACTATAAAGGTATAGTACGGGTATCTCCGAAAGTGTCTGTTGGGTTGACACGGATCGAGACTGGGATTTGTCACTCCGTATGACGGAGAGGTATCACTGGGACCACTCGGTAATGCATCACCATAATGAGCTCAAAGTGACCAAGTGTTTGGTCACGGGATCATGCATTACGGTACGAGTAAAGTGACTTGCCGGTAACGAGATTGAACGAGGCATTGGGATACCGATAATCGAATCTCGGGCAAGTAAAATACCGATTGACAAAGGAAATTGTATACGGGGTTGCTTGAATCCTCGACATCGTGGTTCATCCGATGAGATCATCGAGGAGCATGTGGGAGCCAACATGGGTATCCAGATCCCGCTGTTGGTTATTGACCGGAGAGCCGTCTCGGTCATGTCTACGTGTCTCCCGAACCCGTAGGGTCTACACACTTAAGGTTCGGTGACGCTAGGGTTGTATGAATTTGAGTATGCAGCAAACCGAAAGTTGTTCGGAGTCCCGGATGAGATCCCGGACGTCACGAGGAGTTCCGGAATGGTCCGGAGGTAAAGAATTATATATGGGAAGTCGAGTTTCGGCCATCGGGAAAGTTTCGGGATTCACCGTATTGTACCGGGGCCACCGGAAGGGTCCCGGGGGTCCACCGGGTGGGGCCACCTATCCCGGAGGGCCCCATGGGCTGAAGTGGGAGGGGAACCAGCCCCTGGTGGGCTGGTGCGCCCCCCCTGGGCCCCTCTCTGCGCCTAGGGTTGGGAACCCTAGGGGAGGGAGCGCCTCCACTTGCCTTGGGGGCAAGTCTCCCCCTTGGCCGCCGCCCCCCCTAGGAGATCTCATCTCCTAGGGCCGGCGCCCCCCTAGGGTCCCTATATAAAGAGGGGGGTGGGAGGGCAGCCGCACCCTGACACCTGGCGCCTCCCCCCCCCCCCATTCTACACCTCTCCCTCCCATAGTCGCTTGGCGAAGCCCTGCCGGAGCCCTGCTGCATCCACCACCACGCCATCGTGCTGCTGGATCTTCATCAATCTCTCCTTCCCCATTGATGGATCAAGAAGGAGGAGACGTCACGCTGACCGTACGTGTGTTGAACGCGGAGGTGTCGTCCGTTCGGCGCTAGGATCTCTGGTGATTTGGATCACGACGAGAACGACTCCCTCAACCCCGTTCTCTTGAACGCTTCCGCACGCGATCTACAAGGGTATGTAGATGCACTCCTCTCTCTCGTTTGTAGATGAACTCATAGATTGATCTTGGTGAACGTAGAAAAAATATATTTTATGCAACGTTCCCCAACACTTTCAAACATCATTGTCAAATGCCTCCACACCATGGCAACAACATTGTCAGGCTCAACCTCTTCCTCCTCAGGCACGTGTTCATCAAAGCCCCATTAGAGGATCCAGTTATGCAGAATGCAACAAGTAAGAACTAGCTTAACCTGCGTGGAGTATGGGTGGAATGGCTTTTGATCCAGGATCTTAAACCTATTCTTTAGAGCTCCAAATGCCCTCTCGACAGTTACTCTAAGGCTGGAGTGTCTGAGATTAAACAACTCCTGT